ATATATATAAAAAAATATAATGAAAATAGGTAATTAAATAATTGTTGTTTCAAAGAAGAAGAACGAAGTGCAAGAAAAATAATTTTTATATAAGTATATGAAAAAATTAAAAAAAATGAGTTTAACGACTGCTTTTATATCTTTTATTGTAAACCTCTATATTTTCTCTCAGAACAGTGCTTTTGTAGAGACAAACAAATAAACCAAATGAAAATCTATAGGTAATAATTAAACTTCTTAAATGTTGTAAGCCATGTAGCCCGAGAAAGATATGTAATTTATAAATGTGTGTCTAATTATGTAATATAAATACTACCTAGGTACTTTTATCGACAAAAAGTCAAATAAGTATATATTAATCGAAATATTCTCAATGTTGATTCTGTAAAATAGAATTGGGATATTCTAAATAATGTATAAGTACACAAGATTATATTATACTAGCCCATTTTAGCCAAACCATTTAACCACGGGTGAAAATTATAATGTAGGTACTAAAATATAGCCTTATTTTGGTCACCGGAATATCAAAACCATACAGAATAAAGTCTTTGATGAGTAAAGTTTAAAAACAGAAAAATAGATTTTGTATAACTATAGGTATGTATAATGTATTTAGAATGTCCTACTATCTCATATTCATTGTTATTATGTACTGTTACTTTAATGTGAAAGGGGTTAATAATATATTAATTACTATAAACAAATAATATTACAATAAAATAATTATTAGCAAAGGAGATCTGGATACATATCCTTTCTTCACTAAGACAAAATTCTAAATACACCTCTGCCAGGATATACTATTTTGAATATTATATTACCATTTTATATCATCATTAACTCTATAGATATCCTAATATCCACGACCTTATTGGGTTATTTAAGGGGCTTGGTATAGGCAATTTTAATGCATTTTTTAAAAGAATAAGATTATTTATTTATATTTGAATTAGACTGGTTTTCAATTACATGAATAGTAAGACATTATTTCCACTACTAAATTATTAGACATTGTATATAATATTATGATAGAAAACAAAATGGAACTCGGAACAATTATAGATCAGTGATACCAAATTAGATGTCCATAAATCAGGAAAAATACCAGATGAATGGGACAACTTAAATAACTTTGAGAAGGATCAAAATGTTAAATGTTAAATCTAATTATTTATGAATTAGGTATTAATTAAAAGTAGATTAAAAGTAGATTGAAAGTAGTTCCATGAATGTTAGTATCAACAATTTATTATAGTTGTTGCGTTATAACAAGATTATAATATAGAAAAATGGCTTATAGTAGGACAAACTTACGGAGACATTATTTTCAGTAGCTTTTCCAAATTGTCCCAATGCATAGAGAATAACTTCATCCTTACCACAGTATTAATTTTATATCAATACTCACTAATTTATAATAAAAAAATCAATAACACAGAAATATGAATCTTTACGAATGCATGAAACTTTTTGATTTATTTTACTATAAAATATTATAATAACTATACTTATAATTTATTTTATACCTAACGGTTGAGTTTATTTTTTAAGGAATTTGTTGGTTTGAAATTTAGTTTTGAACTAATACACAAGCAATTGTTGCATTTGAATTTCAAATGTGGGTATCTGTAAATCTTAGGGCAATAAGTTTGGAACTAGACAACGTGATAGGTATTGCATTTTTGTTGATAGATCATTAAATAGCTTATGATTTATGAAATACTGTCTAGTTAAAATTGTACTATTTCAATCTATATAAAGGGCTAAAATATGAGCTTAAGTATTGAAAAAAAAATAGATAATATTTTAAGAAGAAAGGTAGACTTTATAAAGGTAGAATAAAAGTCTTTAAATTTATTATTTTATCAAATAGGTATAGTCACTAATATTTTGTAATACATCTCAAAATTGACAATTTTTAGTATGGTGATGAGTAGAGTTAGGATGTTGATGACCTAAAAAACACACAAAAATGCCCTTAAAAAAATGCAAAAAGCCCTAAAAAAAGTGCAAAAATGACCTAAAAACTTCAAAAAATGACCTTAAAAATTATCTAAAATACTAATTAAGTAAGTGAAAAAACTTATTTATAAATAATAATTTTTATTAGAGATATGGGTATAATAATGGGTGTAATAGTAGAAGCATTTAAATAGCTTATAAATAAATTTCAATATTAAAAATAAATAACAAAAAACACTACTGACAATAGTTTCTTTTACTGAAATTATAAGCACGTCAATCAATAGGTCTAATGTCTATGTCAATTTAATCTTGTTTATCGGATTTATTCCATACATTTATAAATATAATACTCGATAAGCGTGTAAATGTGTATGATCGGCGTATGTCTGAAAAAGCACTCGTTTCATCAATATATAAGACTCAAAGAGTAAATCTTATCGGAAAACGATAAATGTAATCACAACAAAAACCCCACAATAATAATATTAAAATTATATTTTACTAATAGTCCAAATCCAAAGTTAGATTTTAAATAAATTAAATTTGTTTCCAAACTTGGGTGTAACATTTGCCATAAAATCTATAATTTGTGAAAAATGCCCCACATTGTATGAAAAGTGCGAAAAATGCCCTAAAAGATGAAAAAATTACTTAAAAATGTTGAAAAACGTTAAAAAACAAAAAAAATGCAAAATAAAATTAGAATATTCTGCATCAAGGGAACATGAAACAAATTTTTAGCTAGGATAGCATTGTACAGAATAAAAGGAAAAAAAATGCAAAAGTCATCAACATCCTAACTCTAGTGATAAGTGATACTCATGTAGGTAGGTACATTGTATTTGATGAGTCCTATTTACTTATTTAATTGTCTATATAACCATTGTTTTACATTCTTTTTTAAATTTATTTATTAAGTTGAAACTATAGGATGGACCGTTTATTAAAAGTATTTTTATTTAAATTTATTAATATCAAGGAAGATCGAAGGAGTGCCAAACAAATACTTTTATTAAGATGTAAACCAAATTTTAATTGTATTAATGTATAACATAATATACCTAGGTACCTAATATAAGGATCTAAATAGGAGACTAACTTTTTTCTTGGTTTTCTCTTTTGTATATATATTTTATGTGTTATAGAAACATATTTTTATTTTAAGATTGGGTGCCCACCGGAAAGCTGCATTCTGCAGTTCTCTACTCCGCCAGTGCCATCACGGTGACAGTTGAATTGGCTGACGGCATCGCAAGGTAAATCCCCAATGGACCGTTAAATTGGCTCCCGAAAAATATATAATTTAATTGACTTCCAAAAATATAACATAATTTTCTTCAACTGTGCAGTGCTTTCTAAGAAGGAAACGGAGGGGAAATTCTTCAACAAGCATACAGTGGAAACTACCATTGGATCTTAGGAGGTGGGGTTATAGAAGGGAATCTTCAAACACCATTCATGACACATAGGTTGGTTCATTAAAACAGTAAATCGGGCACATGTAGGTACACAGCGAAATATACAGTACAGATAGGTATTAACTACCCGGCATAATCTTTAATTTGTGTTTAAAATTGTATGGTATTATACAATAACTTGTGTTGCGTTTTGCGTGCCTAAGTAGGTACTATGTCAATTATTGAAAAATATTTTGTTGGATGATTGTAATGTCGAAATGGCACGCACCTCTGCTATATTATATTAACTGCTCTCCATATCGCATACCAGTACGGCACATTCGGTTTTATAATGTTTAGGGGCATTATATTTAACGATAAAAGTATTTAATATGTATATAGGTCTTATTGATTATAATATAACTAGAAGAGGTAAATAAATATTTTAAAAATATTTTTTTTAAAAGAAGAGGAATTCCCACCGTCCCTCAATTCAAACTCTGTACATAATATATACTTAAAGAAGAATCCATGGCATAATCAAAGCCATTTGGTTCCGTGTTTGATTCGAAATCGACTGAGACGTTAGCTTATTTGTAAACCTATATAACAATATTAAACACACATTATGTATAAAGGTACATATTATTAAGACGTACACGCTATTGCAACCGCCTGAAATATATACAACCGCTAAACACGCGTAAAACCAAAATATAGAACAGTCATCATAATATTGCAGCAGTAATCGTCGTCGTCGTCAACAATAACAACAACAATGGTTGCAGTCACCGTTATTAAACTATTATCATATTTGTACACCTATATATAATATGTAAAATATGTATAGTTACAAGTCGCTGTCGTAACGTCCGCTCTCGTACCTCCGTGATCCGCCGAGGCGCGTTAACGACGGAGAGCCGCCGCGGCCTACAGAAACGGCTTAATTCGAGTTTCTTCCTCCACCGCCGCCCCACCACCCCTAGCCACCACCACCGCCACCACCATCGGTATAACGTACCATTTCACCCCGCGCACTACTACCCCGCACTTTGGATGGGTGGCGTGTATGTGGGTGCAGCATCAGCGGGTCGACGGTGGGCGAGCGGGCGAGCGTGAGGGTGTCGTACGCGGCGTGCGCGGGTCGCCCGTGGCAACGCGTCGGTGCGATGCGCCGCCGACCGTGTGCTCTCTGCTCCGCACGCAGCAGTACGCGCGACGGCCCGACCGCGGAAAAGCCCATCATCCCGACGATAGTCCGGCAGCGCCGGAAAAGCGCATTTCCCGATAGTCGTAGTCGGCACAGTACCCACCACGGTGGCCAACGATCCTCCAGCTCCTCCGTCGTCTGGTCATACGCAGCGTATAATATTATTGGCCTGAGCGCCTCCGAATAATAATAATAATAATAATATTAAAATATAGTGACCACTGTCGCATTAAACTTTGAGCGTGTAATATTATCACCGTCGTTGGTTGTCGCACGAGGCTACGGAGCGATAGACGGCAACGGCGCTAAAAATTATTGGTATCAGGTTTAGGTTAATTTTTTTTTTTTTCCGTTTCGAAAATCCAATTTCGAAGTATTCTCATACGGGCGAGACCGCGGCGCGGCCGCTCATAATACTTTCGGACATGAAGGACGCCGACGACTGTTGCGGGACCACCGTTTTCGGGTGTTTTCCGGGCGCGAGGCGCAAAAATAAACAGCCAAAGGCGAAATCGCCGCCTCCTGTACAGCACTTACAGGGGGACAGCCCGGGCGGCTCGGTGCAGGCGTTCTACCGGCAAAACCGTGGAAAGTCGTGCCGGAAAATCATGCGGTTCAACGGATATCCGAACAAAGTAAGTCAACTGTTTACCGCCGTTTGTAGAATTAATTGTTTTTAATTATATTATAATGCATATTTATTGCGCCCCCACGGCCACGTTACACGTGTAGTAGTTATCGATGCTCTTGCAGTAACATTTGCGGCTGCAATGACCGTGAAAATGTATGACCTACGCGGCTACGAGTATATAAATTACGATAGAATTATTATCTTATCATAAATCAAATTTTGATTTTATTTTTTCATCGTTTGAGCAATATGATGAACAGCTATTTGCTATGTCTTATGTGTCGATCACTCGATACCAATTTTATAATTTATATAAATTATAGTTCAGTAATATTTGTAATGTTATTTACATTATTGAGCCACAAAACATCGTAATCAAAATATTATAATATCAAAATAACAATATTTATTACGTCACTATTGAACCCAATACACAATACCCTGTACCACCAAGTATATTAATTGCATTATATATAGGTTTAACATTTTATAATACTGTCTAACATATATTTTATAAATAATATGACAACATTTACAATAACAATAACACGTCTTTTTGTATCTATTTATATATTATGTAACTTTTCAACAACGCAAAACAATATTTATCATACAAACATGAATGATAGGTCAATTATGGCCATATAAGTATATATATTATACCAATAAATATTGGTTAATTATAATAGAAATCACATAGTATGGAACCATTAGTTCACTTCTGTCGCTCCATTCAAAATCTATGGGAATCTGTAAAAAATTTTTTAACTGAGTTTTAGTCTGCTGCAGTAGGTATTGTAATAATCATGGGTATTTGAAAATGTTAAACCGCTAATTTATGTTGGCCATTGCATGTAAATAACAATGCCGAATGGAGAACGATTTACTGAAAAACGGAAATGCTATATTGCTATGAAGATTCACACAGATTTCAATTAAAAGTAATGTGTTTATGTGTTCAATTTTCCAATAAATTAAAAATGTTTTCTTTACTCCAAAAATCTTTACTAATAGTTCCATTTACTTCACCCTTTCATGGTATTGTAAAATGTCTATTACTATAAATGTATAGTTTTATATTTTTTTTACTTGTGTGAGATATGTAACACCTGTCAAAATACATTTTTACTAAATTAATAAATCATCGTCATCATTAATAACTAATAACTAATGATTGAAAAAAGTATAAAACATTCTAATCAAGCAGAATCTAGTGGTTTAAACTTTATATTTTCCAAATTTGTGTTTGTATAGCATGATCAAAATATTTGTACAAATGACATTATGTAATAATTCATCTTATACTATTCATGATGGTAGAGTAAAAATAGATTAAACGGTTTTTTGAAATTTGAAATTATGTATATTTTAATATGAGAGGAATAGAGGATACATGGTTGGTAAGTTCAATATTGTGGAATTTTATAAAAAAATAAAAAATGTTTATGAGTTTTTACATAATCCTACTTTAATCATACGAATGTTCGAATGACATACATCTAAAAAATAAATAAATATTTCTGGTTTTCCAACACATGTTATTTTGTTGATAGGTAATAGGTATGGCTTTTAAGAATAAATTTAGGTATTTTAGTTATTTTATTTAGCTTTAATTAAATCAAGTGTGTGAATCCGATTATTTTTCAGTTAAGCTGTCAAAAGCGCATTGTAAAGACAGTTTTTACATCTAAAATGGAATTAAAATTTTTTTTTCTTCAATGATATTTGAAAGTTTGTTTTTGTACATTACTGGGCATACATAATACATTGAACTATTAAAGAATTGTTTTAAAATAATTTTTCATTGTTAATTTCCTGGGTATTGTTAATTTAACAGCCTTTAGCTTATGTTAAAAATTCAACTATATAGGTACTTCTTAAAACAGATTGATACATATTTTTTTTTATTTACAATCTATATTGATAAATACGATAAATAAATTTGATCATGGTAGAAAAAAAATGACAGGAAGAACGCGACTAGAGGAAATATCCAGTTATATTACTCTGCCGTATGTACTAAAGTAGTAATAAGTAATAACATATAATAGTAAGTTATCTAGTCCGAGTTCAAGGTTTTTTTTTTTGACATAAATTAGGTGTGAATGATAATTAGGTTAAAAGGTCGTTGAATCATTTACGAAATTGATAAATTAAAATGTTATTTTTCAAGATTATAAATTGATCTGTCAAGTTAAGTAATTTTATCCTGTTTTTAAATCTTCGCTTATAAACATATTTTCCTCAGTAAGGATCCTCTTGAAAGATATTATTTTATACTAGGGTAACATGAAAGGTAAAAAATACACGACTTTACTCAATAGAGTATATGACTTAACGTTTACACTTGAGTGTTAATGTAATTTTAATATTAAAAACTTTTATGCATAACATTTATCTATTATTCAGCAGTGTACTTAATTTTACAGGTTCGCTTAATAAATGGGTATTTATATAATTATGCACGTAGTTATATGATTTAATTTAGTTAAAAATAAGCGTTTTTAAAAATATGTATGAATTAAAATATGATTAATTAAACTGTATAATATATAATATATATTACACTATAGTAAATTTTAGATATTATAATATGTCTTATACGACATGTTTCGGTAATATGAGAGTATTGAGTAATAATATTATTATTTCTATATATAATAACACTATAGTAGCTAATAACTATATCATCATTTTCTTGTTATATCATATAGGTAATAATATCGTTTTCTTAGACAACCTCCCATACAGTTATTGACTATTGTCCCCTACTCCCCTCTTATTATTGTTTGCAGCAAGGAACATGATATATAGATTATTTTTTCTTCTCATTTTTAGTACATCGACCACCAAGGGAAAACTGTTCGTCCTAGTCAAAAATAAAAATAAAAAAATAATCTAAACAACTTTAAAACCATTTTAAGAATTTATTTTATTTTATAAAACTAACTAATTAATTGTTTGTTCAAAAAATACGGGTTTTCGAGCGAGACGCTTGGTTGGTTATTGAAAACCGAGGAGAAAAGTAAAACAAAAACGATAAAAACAAGTTTCTCGAGTAAATATTTAAGCCCTACTTAACCTAAATATTCTATTGTCTAGGCGATTTTTAATTCAAAACACTGTTTGCACTCGTCTACTTTGGTGCTTTTCTGTGATCACATCTTCCGTTACCCTGCGAATAAACAGTATAGTTTTATTATCATTCCGCAGCTAGGTCTGTGGCTATAACAATAAAAAAAAAAATTACAGTCTATATAATATATCGTCTAATGTACCTACGTATATACATAATAATATAATAAGAATATTATGTTCCACTGGCTGCCGTGTGCTGCACCATCGTGTTGTTTCGACCACCAGCTCTGTCACCACGGCGCCTGCAAAGGAATATCATTTTTTTGAAAGCGTTGTAAAATTTTCTGGAACACATTATACATAATATATAATATATGTATATGTGGCGAACGCAAGTCTATACGACTGCACCGCTACTTCGTCGGGGCACAAACGAAAAGCCATTTCTTAGCCACCGCTTCCCTACACGCTGTCACATACGTGACAACCCTTTTTTGTTTTTACTTTCAGCACACAGAAATTGGATACATGATATCCGACGTGCAGCGCATTGTCTCCGCTGCAGTGTATATGTTGTTCAGTAATAAGTCCGATACCCTCCAAAATTGCTGCACACACTCACATGACGCACCGGAGGGCATGACGAACGAGATGTAAAAAACAAAACGTGTTAGAAAAAGACAAAAAAAAATAACACCCTCGATAGGCCTTAGGGGTCGATAGCCCGTTCCCCTATCCTGCACCACCGCGGTGTCGCGCGATACCGTCGTCGTTATCCATGGCACATATTTATGCACCGTGGGTAGGATTTTGTTTAAAAGATCCGCCGAGAGGAGAATGTTACATATATTTTAGAGACCCTATATATACAAGGGTATAATATATATTTACTAGTAGGTATACTTAATACATACATGTAGAGTATATCTGTACATGGGGATGACGCACTACCACGCGTATAGAGTATATAGTATCCTTCATTATATACTCTGTGGCAAGGTTAAATTAGATTTGCATAACATTTCCTATACGATCCGAAATTGTTATAGTGTATGAGTGTAAAAGAAAATACCCCATTTCATCATCACTTCTACTACACGATAATTTAATGATCGTTTGTGAAATTTAAGCGGTTGATATTTTAGATTATTGGTGGAGTATATAGACGTATATCCGCATAGGTATATTCGAGGAATGTATTGGTTTCACGATGTTGGGTTGTTTTTTTTAGATTTCCAACGAATGCATTATCGGCATTACAAAGGCGTGAGGGTTTTTCTGTTTTTCAGTTGGTTAGTTTTGTCTGTTATCATTTTTTCGTGCTTCAAAAGTTTCAAGTAGCACTCCGCAGTCTAACAACACTGGCAATTTGATGTCTTGTGAGAACATCTTTTGGAGAAGTGATTTTTTCTAATTTCTCATGAGTTTTGTACCTAACTATATAGTTTTCAACTCAATACAAAATCGGGTCACTTAAAGTTTATCAGTTCTTACCGAAATAATGTAGTCATAAACCATTAACTATTAAAATCTTATTATAACGATAATAGTAATACAATTATAATATGAGAATTATTATGATTAAAAATATTAAAATATTTATAATTAAGAATGATTGAATGTATCACTTACAATCAAATTTTTCTAAATTATATATTTTAAAACAAAATAATGAAAAAGTATTATTTGGAAAATATGGTTTTTAATGAGATAAATCGATAAATCGATAACTTGATATTAGTATTATTAAGAATTATAAAAAATATTGTTTAAAACTACAATCACAATCTAACACCATAATGCATTATAAACTCATTAATTCTTTTAATTAGGAAATTGTATTATAATACATACATGACCACATGGCTACATGAGGTTACTGTTTTGTCGCGTATAAGACATGCGTCTTTGGATTCCCTGGGGTGT